GGTTCAGCAAAAACAAAAGCTACAAGGAACCTGGGTACCTGAGAACTTCGTGGAACAAAACGGCCATTCCAGCCCTGGACTGCCCCTGTCTAGAATTCTACATAAAACAGAAAAAAACTACCTTAAGACAAATTATTTTAGGTTTCTATTATTGGCAGTTGCTCTTAATCCTAACTAATACAGAAAACAATGCTAACAGCATCTACTAAAATGTTTTTTTTTTTTAAATCATTGACTCAGCAAGACCAGTTCTCAGAATCAGCCCACAGCTGACTAAATATGAGAATCATCTGAAGAGTTTTTAAAAAAATACCAAAGCTGACTAAATACCAAAGCTGACTAAATACCAAAGCTGACCAAAGCTGACTAAATACCAAAGCTGACTAAATATGAGAATCATCTGAAGAGTTTTTAAAAAAATACCAAAGCCAGAGATCCTGATTTCAAAACTTGTCTCAATGGAACCTGAGCATCAGTATTTTCTTAAACCTAAGAGGTGGACTGAGAACCACTGTCCTAGAAAAACAAACACACCAGTGTTTATATATATGTGTAAGGATATTTACAGCAATACTCTCTGTAATACTAAAAAACTGGACGCAACATAAATGTCCATGAATGGAGAACTGGTTAATAAACATGTTAAGGTATATCCATACAGTAAAATGTTACACAGCTATTAAAAAGACAAAGGAAAATAGATTGTTAAGTGGAAAAAAAAATAGGTTCAGTGTTAAGAGCCTAGTATATGCATAGAAAAAGATCTGGACGGACAAACATACATTAACCTGTTAACAGTGCTTATCCCTAACTGTTCCCTTTGCCTAGAACTACCCAGCTTCTATTGGTTGCCCTCCCTGGACCCTGAGTCCCTTTTCTCTTTAGCCCAGGGGTGGCAGTGGTTTCCTGCTGTTGCTACTCTCTGGGTCACATCTCTGTGCTCCTGGCTCTCAGCAATACTACTGCCTGTTATCACCAGTTCTGTGAATTAAATGTTCTCTGTTGTAAATACTTCAAGTGGCTTTGGTGTACGTGGTTGGACTTCAAAATTATGTGTTGTTTCTTACAAATTACTTTATCCAACTGAAGCAGAAAATGCACATACTTTAAAACAACTAAATATTTGACATTTACTAGGTTACCACATCCCTTACCAGGGTAAATGACAAGCAAAGGAAAAGGCAGGGGACCTGGCTCCTGCTGTCAGTTTCAGACAGTTTAAGGCACATGGATTGCAACACAGAAATCTCCATCACCTGCTTATAAATGCTACTAGTAGGAAAAGGTTAGATTCAATTATGCTTAGAAACTAATACAAATAGAAAACTAGTAAAGATCCGTAAGAAGAGCGAAGGAGAGAAGCAAGGACAGTGGCAGAATTGCACAAAACCGGCTAAATCTAAAACCCTGACTTTTTAAAATGGCATTTTAAAGCATGTCTATATTTAACTATACAGAATGATGTTTCACAGTCTAAACCTTTATCCTAAAATATTTTAGGACAGACATCCTTTAAAATTCAAATGAATGGAACACTCTAACAAATAAAAACTTAAGATTTGATATGCCATTATCTTATCTAGAATGAAATGCCACCCTCTAATTTTTATTCTTTTCTAGTATGACATATAAAAATGGAAACAGAAGATTAGGAAAAACCCACCGTTATGGATAATTTACATCAACTATCTTAGAGTGCACTCCTCTTAGAGAGTAGGAAATTCTGTATTGTTTCATTTGTCAAAAAATATATTTCAGGGCTTGTGGCGCAGT